ATTCAATAATTATTTTTTTCTTTTGTAAAATAGAAGAAAAAACTAAGCTTTTAAAATAAATTAAATAGATTACGAACTCAATTATAACAAAAAATTATTAAAAACTAAATCGTAATATGTTAATTTGCTTACTCTAATTGTATTTTCTTAAACAGATCTCTGAACATGAAGTTGAACACATTAAAAAGCATCCACGAGCCAAATTGATACGGCTCGGCATTGGTGATACTACAGAACCTATACCAGACATCATAACAACAGCTATGGTCGGTGTAAGTTTTACTACATTCAATTGTACTGTAAGAGCAATTATTAGGTCTTCAAAAACCGTTTGCTTATTTGCTCTTCTACCTTCCTCTATATTTTAAGGTATACGAGTCGTTAGTACGACGTTGCAGGCCGTAACTTACATAATACATACTTATATCACTTGTATTTAATTATTCATTGAACATTATTTTATCACTTTAAGTTTTTAAGATACGTAATTCAATCAATTATTTAATATCATATCAAAGTCAAATGTTTGAATTTTCATTGTTTCGTCTCTATTGATTAAGTGTATATTTAAAGCGAGTTTATGGAATGAATTTTAAAAGTATTCTTAAAATAATTATTTACTAATATTTTGAATTCTCATTGTTTTAACTTTACGATCTGAAAGTTTATATATAAATAATAGATTGAATCATTTAATGTGAGAACATATTTTTTTAGAATAATTCGATTCAGGCAATTACTTAAACAAGTTATAGTGTACTTATAATTACTTGTTTAAACTAAAAACTCTAAAAGTGTTTTTATCCATGGAAATTTTACAGAACTATTGCAAGTTTAGCAAGAAGTCAACATATATATACTCTATCTATGTATATGTATATATACATTTAATTCAACATGTATATAATCAACATAGATATATGAATATATATCATCAATCAAGAAGTATAATGAGGTTCGATATGATATTCACAGCGTGCTCGTGCTCTATCGACTATTCGCGGTTATAAAGGATATGGAGCTGAACAAGGAAGCATGGTAAGGGTGGAAACATTTTTATTGCTTGTCTTCATCTTCTTCTTCTTCTACTACTACTTCTTCTTCTTCTTCATCTTCATCTTCTTCTTATTCGTATAGTTATTAAGATAATAACAGTTTAACCCTTAAAAAATTTTAATTTGCTACTATAGCGATAACAATCTTTTAAATTAGATGTTTTTGAAAATTATTATTCTTAAATGATATAATAAATTGATCATCTCGAAAATTTATTATGACAGAAAATAGCTCAATTATTTATTTATACTATAACATATTATTTACACGTAAACTTATAATATTAAAAGCGTGAATCATACATAAAATTCACTAAATTTTTTACGAATATGGTTTTTAATAAAAATAAAACGATAAATTCAAAAAATTTAGGATGATGAAAAAGGGTTATATCGAATTTCATACTCTAACAATCATTATATGAACACTTTTGACAAGGCACTAATTGATTTTTATAGGAGTTAAGAATGGCGATTGCAGAAACAATTTACAGAGATATGGATATAAAAGGTTACGAAGTTTTTGTATCAGATGGTGCACAATGTGATATTTCTCGTCTTCAGGTGAGAAAAATAATAAATTTACTTTTATTATATATTATTTTTTATATATTTAAGTTAATTATAGTTAAATTAAAAATAATAAATTATGACTTTTTTTTTTCTTGTTTGAATTGGTTTTTAAATATTTAGATTTCGAGCAATTAACTATTTAATTGATTGATCGATGATATTGATTCTCGACTTCTTTTCTATTCGACAGATGCTCTTCGGATCTAATGCTACTATTGCTGTACAAGATCCATCTTTTCCGGTAATACGCTAAGAACATATAAATTTCGATAAAATTTAGCGAAGAATAGAGAAAGAATATTAGTCGAGAAGACTAATAAAATATTCTCTATGTTTTATGTGGGTATTAATTGATAAACAAAAATAAAAAATGGTTGTTATAATATTTTCTTTAATTTAATTTTGTAAAAAATATAGTTTTTTAAAAGACATGTGATAAAATGGAAAGATATAGAAAATATTAAATATGACTTTTGCACAAAAATCACGTGCAAGAATAAAAAAATAATTTGAACTTTTTGACATTCCAAAAGAAAAACAAAGAAAAAAAAAAGATTAATCATACAGAAATAGTCAATATTGACATACACTTTTGTTTGTGATGTATCTAATCATCATGGGTTTGTTTCCTAATTTGTATCACCTTCACCCACAACATGGACCACCTATATATATATATATATATATACGGTGTATATATACAGGCGTATATAGATTCCAGTGTCAATATTGACATACCCTTTTGTTTCTAATACAATTAATCATCATGGGTTTCCTTATTGTATCATCTTCACCCACAACATTGACCACCTATATATACATATATATGGTCTATATATACAGGCGTAAATAGATTCCCGTGTCAATATTGACGTACCCTTTTGTTTGTGATAAATTTGTCATCATGGGTTTCCTAATTTTTGTCTTCACACATAACATTGACCACCTATATATATATGGTCTATATCTACAGGCGTATATATATTCCAGTGTCAATATTGAAATACCCTTTTGTTTGTAATACAATTAATCATCATGTGTTTCCTAATTCATATCATCTTCACACACAACATTGACCACCTATACATATATATATATATGGTCTACATATACAGGTGTATATAGATTCCAGTGTCGATATTGACATACCCTTTTGTTTGTGATACCATTAATTATTGTGGGCTTTCTAATTCGAATCATATTCACCCACGACATTAACCACCTATACATATGGGTCTACATATACAGGCGTATATAGATACCGGTGTCATTATTGGTCAAGCTGGGAGATTTAAAGAGGAAACTGGGAAGTATTCCCAGATTGCATACATGGCATGTCAGCCTGAGAATAATTTCTTTCCTGATTTGTCCATTACTGGAAAGACAGACATTATTTTCTTCTGTTCTCCAAACAATCCAACTGGTCATGCCGCAACAAGACAGCAACTGGAGAAACTTGTGGAGTTTGCAAAGGAAAATGGATCAATTATTGTTTATGACTCTGCATATGCTGCTTATATAACTGATGCAAGCCCAAGATCCATCTATGAAATTCCTGGTTCTAAGGAGGTTGGTTTGTTCATCTATTTATCTTACAATTCATGTTGATAGATAATATAACTGAATCATATTATGTAATGAATAACCACTGTTACGAAATGTTGATTTTAATAAACAATGAAAAACAGGTTGCAATTGAAATTTCATCCTTCTCAAAATTTGCTGGATTTACCGGAGTTCGCCTTGGCTGGACAGTGGTCCCTGAAGAACTACGCTATTCAAATGGATTTCCTGTTATAAAGGATTTCAATCGCGTTGTATGCACCTGCTTCAATGGTGCATCCATTATTGCTCAAGCAGGAGGACTAGCTTGCCTCTCTGTAGATGGTTATCAGGTAGTAACCTATCTCTCTCTCTCTCTCTATATATATATATATATATATATTCCTCTTTTCTAATACATATTTCTTATTATGACACAAATTTTCTGAGTTTTAATCATACTAATCTGCATAAACTTAGCATGGGAAATCCATGTCTTATTCTTGAACAAGTATTCTAATTTCATTGACTGTAAGGCCTATACAGGTAGTAACCTATATTTCTCTCTCTATATAATATATTTATATATATTCCCTTTCTCTAATACATATTTCTTATTATGACTCAAATTTTCTGAGTTTTAATCACACTAATCTGCATAAACTTAGCATGGAAAATCCATGTCTTATTCTTGAACAAGTATTCTAAACTGTAAGGCCTATACAGGCAGTTTTAATTGTCAATTAAAATTGATTTTCATCATGACTGCTTTTTAACTTCTTTTCAGAATCATGAAATTATATGGCTAAATTCTCCAATGCTAAAACTTCCTTTCAACATTTTATTTTAGGCCTTGAGAAATGTGATTAAATACTACATGGATAATGCTGGAATACTCATTGAAGCATTCGAATCGCTTGGGATGAAAGTTTATGGTGGAAAGAATGCACCTTATATCTGGGTGCATTTTCCAGGCTCCAATTCTTGGAATGTATTTGCTGAAATTCTGGAGAAGACGCACATCCTTACCGTTCCGGGCAAAGGATTTGGTCCTGGTGGAGAAGAGTATATTAGAGTCAGTGCATTTGGAAAAAGAGAAAGCATAGTAGAAGCTTCAAGGAGATTGAAGAAGTTATATAAGAGATAATCAATTATATCAGAAATCTCAAACTTATAATAAAAATAGCATAAGTTATGAATAAAAAATTAGAAATCAAGAAAAAAAATTTACGCAGTGATGAGTTTCCTCCTCTGTGATCGTCCAAGCAATAATCTATGCGATCCATTAATTCCACTAGAATTTGTAGCAATACTAGTGGAGTGTTTGTATCAATATGAAATGAGAAATTCATAAAATTTTTGTGACTGGAGTGATCTAGATAAGGCAACATTAAGGTTTAAGACAAGTTGAATTGAAGAGAAAAAGAAAATTGCAAAAGGCAAAGAATTAATATCGAAAGCCAAACGTGAACTTACACTAATAGAGTTTTTATTTCTCGAAGAAATGAGCTTTTGAACATACCTTTCAGCTGGAATTTTCATTGATAAAACGTTTAATGATAAGCATAAGTTCACGTGCTTGTTGTGAATTGGGGTCAATGGTGAAGAAGCCATGCTGCATGCCTTCGAATTCAACATAATCTATCATTTTCCCCCAATTCTTAAGCTTTTTCGCATAATCATCTGCTCGGTCTTTCAGTAAATCGCTTCCCCCAACAACAACTAAAATAGGATCAAAATCAACATGTTCAAGACTCCGGCTTACTGGTCCAAATGGGTTCACAAGTGGATGATCAGTTGTTTCTCCAATTGGTATTGATAGCCTCCAAAACCTAACTCATTCAATGTAATTATCACAAAAACTATTCAATTATTTAAACAAAATAACATTAAAACAAGAATTTGAACTCATAATTTCTTATTAAAGATATGGATGTTTAGTCAACCAATTACACTTTTCATCATCATATAAGCTTTTATCGAAAACTATAACTACTGCTTTTTTCCCCTAAAATAGAAATAGCGCAATCAAGATTTGAACTCAGAGACATTTAACTCTAATACCATAAGATAACATACGAACCGATTATCCCTAAAATTTAATCTGAGTAATGTGTTTTAGTTAGTGGTGATGCACATGGATTTGAATCAAGTCACTCAAACAATAGGGCTGTGAGGATTAAAAAACTTGATCATACACACACACACACACACATCTATTAATTTTTTGATATAACTATAACCCAATTCATAAGTTTCTAATCAATTATCATATGATTAAATGGATCAATTATTATATACAT